GGCACGGATGGGTGTACCCGGGTGGGGGATGTGGGTCAGGTGGGGTAATTGTCACGGGGACGGTCTGCATGTTTAATACGTGTTGTTGTGGTGATTTCCTCTCCGGTGTAGATTGTGACTCGGCACGGTCCGGAGGCAGACAGACACTTGTTACGCTGCCTATTCTCACATGTGGATTTCAGTGGCGATGGTAAAAGCAGTGGTAAAGATTTTCACCAGGTAAGATATGTCCAGCGTTGTCCTTCCTGGTGTCACATTTATATTTGAAGCTTTGACCTTCCAGCCTGATCCTGGCGCTGACCTCGGTGCTCTTCCTGTCCGTGTTTTCTTGCAGACCCAGTTTCTGATTCAGGAGTGCGCAGCGCTGATCACCAAGCCCAACTTCATCTCCACCCTCTCGTACGCCATTGACAATCCATTGCACTATCAGAAGGTCAGTGACGCAGACTCGCTCTGCGTTTTGTTGTACTGATTCCACGTTCTCCCCTCCGGCCTCACGTCTGACCTCTTCCTCTTCTTCTTGTAGAGTCTGAAGCCATCTCCCCACCTTTTTGCCCAGCTGAGTAAAGTCCTGAAGCTCAGTAAAGTTCAGGAGGTAAGTGAGCCGTCCCCAAATAACTAGAGAGCCGGGTGTATGGGGGGTGGACTGATAGAGAAGGCCCTGTGGTGTGTTGCAGTCCCTGGTTGGGGAGGGGCCTGGGACGCGGCTGGGGTCCCAGGTTGGGAAGGGTTTGTGGATAGGGTAATGTTCCAGGGACGTGGGTGACGGTACCAGTGGAGGGATGGTCCTGGGACGTGGGTGACGGTACCAGTGGAGGGATGGTCCTGGGGCGTGGGTGACGGTACCAGTGGAGGGGTGGTCCTGGGGCGTGGGTGACGGTACCAGTGGAGGGATGTTCCAGGGACCGGGGTGACGGTACCGGCGGAGGGATGGTCCTGGGACGTGGGTGACGGTACCAGTGGAGGGATGTTCCAGGGACGTGGGTGACGGTACCAGTGGAGGGGTGGTCCTGGGACGTGGGTGACGGTACCAGTGGAGGGATGTTCCAGGGACCGGGGTGACGGTACCGGCGGAGGGATGGTCCTGGGACGTGGGTGACGGTACCGGCGGAGGGATGGTCCAGGGATGTGGGTGGCGGTACCAGTGGAGGGAATAAGGGTTCTGATTGAGTTTCCACGTCTTCCTCATTTCAGGTGATCTTTGGCTTGGCTCTTCTGAACTCCTGCAACAGCGACCTGCGGGGCTTCGGTAAGCCTTCCAGTCATCCTCGTCCTTCATTGGAGGACGGGCTTCTTGCTTTGTATTGCACGCGTTGGGTTTCTTCAGCTGACCTCTCCCCCCTCCTCCTCCCAGCGGCGCAGTTTGTGAAGCAGAAGCTCCCGGATCTCCTGCGTTCCTACGTTGACGTGGACGTTAGTGGCAGCCAAGAAGGTGGATTCCAAGATATTGCCATAGAGGTCCTGCACCTCCTCCTCTCCAATCTCCTTTTCGGCCAGAAGGGAGCCTTCGGGGTTGGACAGGAGCAGATTGTCGCCTTTCTTAAAACCCTGCGCAGAGGTGAGTGGCGTAGAGGACGCGTTGTCTGTATTTGGGTCTGCCGAGTGACGAGCTGTACGTTGTGTCTTCATCTGTATACCCTACGAAAGTAGAGCGGGGCTGCACTCTAATCCTTTGGAGTTGGACGTGGCGCTTTATAATGGTGGTTTGTGGTGTGGTGGCCCTTAGTGGTTGTCCTCATTCAAGGTGACGGCTCCCAGGGCTCCATATAACATCTGGTGTAAGTCAGAAGACATATTTGTCCTCGGTCATGAAGTTGTGACGTAAGTCGCAACGCATTGCGGTACCATGCATTCAGGTGCGGGCAATCGAACTGTGGGTGGGAGCTGCGTTTCAAACGAATGGCAACGCACCTCACACACCAGAACACGTGGTCGGTCCACCTGGTCCTCCTACCTTACAAGAACTGGAGTGGATCCTCCGCTTGGGGTCCAGTGTAGGCTGCTGTGCTGTGACGGAGCTCTATCATACGTGCGGTGCTGGTACAGCTCCCTTGTGGGCCCTGTAGAGGTGCCGGGAGCCAGAATGTGACGTCACTCCGGTACAGGACACGTGTGGGAGCTGTGAACACTGCACGTATGGATGCATGTATGTATGGAGGGAGGTCCCTCGTGGCCGTACCCCATCCCATCCAACCTGAAGCTGGCACTTTGGCATATTTCGAATGGCTGCTCGGTGCGAGAACTGACCGTGCTGCAGTACGTGGAGTCTGAGAAGCCTCTCACCTAGAAAAGTGGAAGGCATGTGGTGACCCCCCCCCCCCGAACACGGGGTCACGACCCAGCAGTTGAGAACCAGTGCTTTAGATCCGTGGTTCTCAACCTGCGTAACCTCAGGACCCACATTTGTCCTCGGTCATTAAGTTGCGACCCAAGTTGCAGCGCAATAGGAACGTGCGGCAGTGTGGGCTGCGGTGCCGGAGCTCCATTCATATCTGCATGGCTTGCACAGCTCCCATGTGCGCCTGTAGAGCAGCTCGGAACCAGAATGTGATGTCAGTCCAGTCCAGGCACCTCCTACAGGACATTGTCGCTTGTAGCTTGTCGCTCCTACATGACCCTTTTTTAGAGCGATATTGCTCCTGATTGCATACAGCCCAATAGGAAGAAGTCGCTCAATGTCGTGCGATTTCCATGTCGCTCGGTGTGAATGGGGTCTTAGAGGATACAGAGTTCTTCCCACGATTCATCAGGAAAACCAAACCCTGTCTCCTCCCATTTATACCTCCAGCGTGGAAGAATGCCGCAATATCATCGTTCAGTTTGGCGTCCGGGAGGTGACTGCGGTGCAGGTCGCCCGGGTCCTGGGGATGATGGCACGGACACATTCTGGGCTCACGGACGGCATCTCCTTACAGGTTGGTGTCTCCTGTTCTGCGTCCTCGGAGATTGGGCAGCGGGTCGTCGGCAGTCATTAAGTGTTCATATCTCTTGCAGTCCATCTCGGCCCCCGGCAGCGGCATCTGGAGCGATGGCAAGGACAAGAATGACAGCGTGCAGGCCCACACTTGGAACGTGGAGGTTCTCATTGATGTGGTGAAGGAGCTGGTGAGTTGCCTCCTCCGGCTGTCTCATGTTGGCTTTTTCTTCATTCCTGTGTCCCAGAGAACCAGACTCAATTGTGTTGTTTTCACCCCCGCAGAATCCCAACCTGAACTTCAAGGAGGTGACGTACGAGCTGGACCACCCGGGGTTCCTGATCCGTGACAGCAAGGGGCTTCAGACTGTAGTATACGGCATCCAGAGGGGGCTGGGCATGGATGTGTTCCCCGTCGATCTCATCTATCGGCCTTGGAAACATGCAGAAGGCCAGGTAAGGACTCCACATGTTCTATGACACAAGTCTTAGAGGGTCATCATTGACGGAGGCCACCCCTCAATTGTACGACAAGATGGCGGGCAACCAGAGCAAACGTTTTACTGGCCTGTATTGCCACGAAGAGTTTAGCAACAGAAGCTCCTCCCGGATTGTCTTGTCTCTCACACACAAGCAGTAAATCGGTGTTGGTTGGGGGACTTTGTAGCTTCTCTCTGCAGGCAGAACATTCTGGTGCTTTGTTCACTGGAACCTCCTGGAATGACCTCTTCCCCGGCTACTCCACACGAGACATGCGTGCGGCCCGCTGGCTGTGTGCGGCTCAGCGTCCTGGGCTTGGTTCACTAACTGTTGGGCACTTTGCATGGTGACAGGGGCTGACCATGCTTGTGTTTATTATTGCAGTCATTGACCTCAATGCTGGGGGTTATTATTGTGCCCACAGACGCCTATGCTGGGGGTTATTATTGTGCCCACAGACGCCTATGCTGGGGGTTATTATTGTGCCCACAGACGCCTATGCTGGGGGTTATTATTGTGCCCACTGACGCCTATGCTGGGGGTTATTATTGTGCCCACTGACGCCTATGCTGGGGGTTATTGTGCCCACTGACGCCTATGCTGGGGGTTATTATTGTGCCCGCTGACGCCTATGCTGGGGGTTATTCTTGTGCCCACTGACGCCTATGCTGGGGGTTATT